GAAGCCCGATCTCAGCGATCTGGTCTTCTGGGTACCAGTAGTAGTAAGAAGACCATCGATGTTGACACACAAAAAATAAATAGGGAGTGCTATAAGTGTCTAACAATGAATAGTCGTTTTTGTTTTCGCTGCCTAGGCTCTCTCGCTAACACGGAAGAAGAAGGAAAATAGTGACACAAACAGCGGCCGACCCTGCTCTCCGCGCATGCATCTCAAGCTCACTCCATTAAATCGCATGTCCAAGTCTCAGATTCTCAGTTATTACGTGCAGAAGAAGGAGAGCTATAATAGTGCTGTACAAGTCTCAGATTCTCAGTTACGTGCAGAAGAAGGAGAGCTATAATAGTGCTTTAAAAATCGCATTTACAAGTCTCAGATACGTGCAGAAGAAGGAGAGCTATATCGGTGCTTCAAAAAAAACTCCTCCGTCTCCCATGCTTGCTACTGCCCGCGACGAAATTTCTATTTTGACACTCTTGGGCCTTGGCATCGCTCTCCTCCTCCTCCTCCTCCTCCTGGCGCACGGCCTACCGTAGTGCTTCTGACTGGAACCTCGTCAGATTAAGCTTTCACCGCTTTTTAATTTAACAGCTTTTATCCCCTCCAGCATATCCCCTCCCCCTCAGGCTCCCTGTACTCTTGTTACCTCCTCACGATTTCTAACACACACGGCCAAAAAAAAAAAAAAAAAAAAAAACCGTTATACTCGCTCACTCACTGTGTCGCCCGTTGCCTGAGACTCTCTAATATGCAGATCGCTGACATCGGGCTTCGTTGCGGCAGTTCTCTGAGACTCTCTATGCAGGTAACGAGGGTAAATAATTCTCTGAGACTCTCTCTCTATGCAAGTAACAAGGGTAAATAGTTCTCTGAGACTCTCTCTCTATGCAGGTAACGAGGGTAAATAGTTCTCTGAGACTCTCTATGCAGGTAACGAGGGTAAATAGTTCTCTGAGACTCTCTATGCAGGTAACGAGGGTGAATAGAATGATAGCAAGCTACTACCCATAGATGTCGTCTTTCCACTGAGGAGGTCGCTCCGAAGCAGAGGCGAGGCCTAATTAAGACTATTTATGCGGGCTGCAAATCGCAATCAAACCCTTTCAACACCCTTCCGAAAGAACACAAAACCAAACGGGAAAAGAAAATGGACCCCTCCTGCTCAACGCTCAGCCTAAGTGACATTTATTATTTCAACGCGAACGGTAGAACTGCCACTTGGACTGTTCGCCTTGAAATAAAACGTAAATGTCGGTGAACTGATCGCTCGCCAATTTGAACACCTGCCTTATACAGCGAGTCTCAGGTAAATACCAACAGGAACTTCAAACACAGAGAGAGAGAGAGAGAGAGAGAGAGAGAGAGAGAGAGAGAGAGAGAGAGAGAGAGAGAGAGAGAGAGAGAGAGAGA